ACATTGGTTGCATTTGCTGGGGAGTCTTGGGATGGAGGTTTCCAGCAGGCAGGGATGAGTTAGTCTGAAGCTGAGAGCAACATCTGGCATGGGGATAAAAATGGCAAAGTCATTGTACTGTGAATGATGTCTCCTGACCTGCCTGGCCAGGGAGCTCTCATGGGTGCCCACCCCTGTGTCCAGTCCGTCACCCACAGTGCAGTGGGTCCCACTGTGCTCTGGTCCCAGATGGGTCTGCTCTGTTGCAGGCTCTGGCTGGGCTGCGTCCATCTACTTCCAGCAGAGCTGTCAGAGCCTGCTGATGGCTTGTCCGGATCAGAGTCTGCTCCTGCACAGTCTCTGAAAGATGCCACCAGAAAACACAAAGTCACTCCAAAAACTTCATGGGAGTTGCAAGCTCAAGATAAGTTAATTCTGGTACAAAAAAATGATAAAATCCATGCATAGTTTTTTCATAATAACAATTTTTACAAATATTTTCATTTGAAAGCAGAGTGACAGGGAGAGAAAGAGATCCATCTTCCGACTGCTAATCCACCCCCCAGATGGCTGCAATGGCTGGGGCTGGGCCATGCCAAAGCCAGGAGCCTAGAACTCCATCCAGGTCCCCCTGGGGGGTTGGGGCCTAAGTACTTGGGCCATCCTCCAGTGCTTTTCCAGGCACATTAGCAGGGAGCTGGATCAGAAGCAGCTGCCAGGACCCAAACCAGTGCTGTGACGTGGAATGCTGGTATGGCAGAGGTGTAAGCCACTGTGCCACAGCGCCAGCCCTGTAGTAGCAATCTTTAAAAATTCCATTTTCCATGAACTTTTCTAGTTAAAGCATTCCTGGCCCTCATTTCACTTAGCCTCTTAAACAGGGCTCCGGCCGTGTTTCCTCCCCACCCCTCCTTGGTGGCCTCTGTGCGGCACCGGGGCTTGCCCCAGGGGACTTCGTCATGTTGGAGTTCGTGTTGTCTGCGGCTTGGTGCTCTTTGTGTAGGTTGCTCTTCCCGTTGCGCCCACGTGATTCCTAACTCACCTTCGGTTTCGGCTTCAGAGAAGGTGTGCACGCACCTTTATATGTTGATGTGGTGGCTGTCTGTCCAGTGAGTGTTCCCCCCAGAACGTGGGGCCCCGAAGGGGCGGTACAGCATCTCTTACAGACCTGTGTGCCCCGGAGTTTACTTTGCAGCCTAAGGGAATGGCATATAATTCTTGAATAAATGGGCATTAAAGCAGACTTGTGGGGCAATTCCATGTGGATGATTCTGGTAGATAAAACCCGCTGGGAGCGATGGTCAGTGCATTAGATGACAGGAAATACCTCAAAGCTACAAGCACCCAAGTGACTTGACTTCAGAGAGTGAGTTAATTCACTGGCTCCTCTTCTATCTCTATAGAGAAAGGGAATCATTCAGTTTTTTTATTTTTTATTATTTTTTAAAATTTTTTGACAGGCAGAGTGGACAGTGAGAGAGACAGAGAGAAAGGTCTTCCTTTTGCCGTTGGTTCACCCTCCAATGGCCGCTGCAGCCGGTGCACTATGGCCGGTGCATCACACTGATCCGAAGCCAGGAGCCAGGTGCTTCTCCTGGTCTCCCATGGGGTGCAGGGCCCAAGGACTTGGGCCATCCTCCACTGCACTCCTGGGCCAGAGCAGAGAGCTGGGCTAGAAGAAGGGCAACCGGGACAGAATCCCACACCCCGACCGGGACTAGAACCCGGTGTGCCGGCGCTGCAAGGCAGAGGATTAGCCTAGTGAGCCGCAGCGCTGGCCGGAATCATTCATTTGTTAAGAAATATTTATCCGGCACGTGTGCTAGCCAGTGGACATACACGAGAGTTAGTGCTGACGCTGCTAGGGCCCTGGAGGTGTAGCTACATTGTAAAACATGTAAAAGTTACAGCAGTTTAAAAGTCACACATTCCTGCCACACATGTTTTATCAACAGTGATGCCAGATTAGGTCTCCATTCCCTATTCAGCCGGGCTCTCATCATGTAGTGTTGGATACATTTAACACCACTGAGATTGTTGTTAGACTCTCGCAGCAGAGTTAACCCCAGATATAAACTGTGAATTCTGTGAGCTCACACTTTGTAGCGAGGCCCCTAACTTGTCCTTGTTACGGGAGCAGACATCAGGGCACCGTATCCCATCATCCACTGAGCACGCTCCTGCTTCCGGCTGCACACGGTGGAGACCAGAGTCAGTGGCTCCCGAAAGCGAATGGCTTGCCGTGGCCAGCCCGTCCTCAGTTGCCACGGCAGGGAGTGCAGCCCCCGTGGTGTGAGCATGGAGACATGCAGAGCCAAGTCCTGGGCGCTCGGATGCAGCTCCCTGACCACAGCAGCGGGGTCGGGTCTGTGTCAGCTCAGCTCTCCCTCACCTGTGCGCTCCTGCCTCTCTCAGCCTCCCCGCCTCTGAGGCAGGGTGGGCTCCGGGCGCACGGCTCTGAGGCAGGGTGGGCTCCGGGCGCACGGCGTCTTCTTCCCAGAACTCGCCTTCCCGCGTTGGGAAGCCACAGGGTCAGGGCTTGTGGAAGCCCCCGCAGATCCTGACCGGCGCTGTCCCTGGGCTGTGGGCTGAGCCGCTGCACACACTCCTCCAGAACACGGCCCGAGACGCTGCCGTGTGTGGCGTGGGCTCCGTCCCTGGGTCTCGGTTGCAGCAGGAGATAAGCAGGCACAGAGCAGGAGACAGACCCTGCCACACGGGTGCTGCGTGGGGGGAGGGGGAGCCGCGCCTCCCCACCTGGGCGGTCGGGGAGAAAGCCGTGTGCATTCCAGGAACTGAAAGGTGAGAGGGGCCGGTGCTGTCACGTCGCAGGTAAACCCTGTGATGCCAGCAATCCCACGAGGGCGCCAATTCGTGTCCCTGTTGCTCCACTCCCAGTCCAGCTCCCTGCTATGGCCTGGGACAAGCAGCAGCAGATGACCCAGTGCTTGGGTCCCTGTCACCCATGTGGGAGACCTGGATGAAGCTCCCGGCTCCTGGTTTTGTCCTGGCCCAGCCCTGGCTTTTGTGGGCATCTGGGGAGTGAACCAGCAGGTGGAAGATCTCTCTCCCTGTCTCTCTGTAACTGCTTTTCAAATAAATAAAAATGAGTCTTTTAAAACGATGAGGGAGACGTGGTCAGATTGGTGCTGGAGCGAAGGGCGGTGCCTGGGCTGAGGAACCCCCGCTGGGGGGCACCCTGGGAGGGGCGAGGGTGGCTGCAGGGGCGCTGAGCGGCCTGGGCACACACAGAGCCAGGCCACGGGAGTCTGTTGAAGGTTTGTGCATTTTCCCCGAGGCCGAAGGGGCTCGCGGGGGGACATGTATGGTTTTATCCTGGAGCCGGCGTTTGCCGGGAGGCTGCCGCAGCAACAGGAGACCCAAGAGAGCGCCGAGCCTGGGGGCAGAGGACGCCCAGGGAAGGCGGCGAGGGAGTGACGGAGGCAGAGCCGCCACGCAGCGGAGAACGCTCTGCCTTCCCCTGGCCTGAGCCACCTCAGGAGCACGGGAGCGGGCGGGGAGGTCGGCACCAGGTCCACCGCAGTTCTCACGTTTAATGTCTCGGGAGGGGGGGTCGGAGGCAGCCCCACCTCCCCGGGTCTCAGCTCCGGGGACAACACCTGCCCATGTCCCCTGCCCCGTCACCCAGGCTGGCCGGACGCCCCCAGAACGGGACAGGAGCCCCGCTGAGGCCAGCCAGGCTGTGTCTGTGGCCGTAACAGCTAGTCTTCTTTTCGTCCATCCCTACCCCTCACCAGGACTCAGCCTCATCCCACGGTTTACGCCGTTATTGAGCCGGCACCTAGCCGGTGCTGACTGCACTGTATGGGAGGCCTTGGGTGCACAGACGGGTGGACAGAGGGGTGGACAGATGGGTAGACAGACAGGTGGATGAGAAGGGGCTCCCGAGAATCCTGGGAAATCTCCAGTGTGTCCCCTTGACAGCAGGCGGTGTCATCCCTGTCCCTGACCCCTGTTCTGCAGGAGGGGAAGCGGTCAGTTTCTGAGCAGGTCAAATGGACAGCAAGAGACTCCTTGGCCAGTGTCCGGGCCTCCGTGTGGCAGATACAGCAGCGTGGGCAGCCAAGGGCATTCGGAACCCAGCCCCTCCATCGCAGTTCACGGATGTGAGCTCTGGGTGTCTCCCTCCTCCCATTAGAAATGCCCTTGAGCCCATGAGCAGCAGCACGGGGAGGCTGGGCGCAGGGAGACAGTGGCCGCTCGCTCAGCAGACCACGAGGGGCGGAGGAGCCGGGCCCATGCTCTTGGCCTGTTAACCACTTCCTCTCCGAGCTGCCTGGGACGCTGGGGAGCAGTGAGTGCCCTGAGGTGTTTGTGGCTGCAGATCCGGACCCAAGGGAACAGTGAATCCCAGGCGGCTTTGCCACTAAGCCGCTGCCACTAAGCCACTGGAGCGCGTGGCTCGCAGGCTCCCCGTGTTAGGTTTCCTTAGCCGAGGCCCCGCATATGGCGCCAGGAAACCTTAGTCTCCAAGTCTCCAAGCTGGGGGCTCTGGAAGCGCCAGGCTGGAGGTGACAGCACAACTCCTCCCGCTTAGGTCGCCACGTGAGTGGGAGCAGCGGGACTTCTGCCTTCCCCAAGCAGTCCCGTGGCTGCTGCCCCTCCAGGCTTCGTCCCGAGGCTCCCTCTGATTTGGGCATCACTCAGGACGGACGTCACTCGCAACCAAACAGGTGGCCGACCTTGCCGAACACACAGCCCCGCCGTGAGAGGCTATATTAAGTCAGTGACCCGAGGTGCTGGATTGAGTCAGTTGCTAAAAGTGCTGGCTATGCCTTGTCCTTGCCACGAGCCACTGCTCTTGCCTCCGCTGACCCTGGGACTGGCCCGAGGGAGAAGTGGCCACGATGTTTGTGAGGCCGGGGGGCTGAGCGTCTCGGGGCTGGCAGAATAAGACTGTGCCACACTCTGGCCCGCGTCACCGTCCTTTCTCCTGAGGCGACATGCTTTCTCTCTTCCGCCAAGCCGTCTCTAAGTTCTACGGGATACTGTTAGTAAGTACCCTCTCCCATGCCTCTGCAGGGCACTCGGGGCACGGTGGTTCCTGGCTCTGTTGAAGATGGTTCCGGCCCTGGGCGGGAGCCCAGCAGGCCAGCTGGGTGGTTCTCACGGCACAGCAACGGACCACAGCTGCAGCCTCGCCGGTGCCTTCTGTAACGTCTTGCTTCGTGTGCAGCTCAGAGACCTGATTTTAACATCCACTGTTCTCCCTTGTCCCGTCCGTGTTAGGGGCAAACCTGTCTGGCTTTGCACCTGTTCTCTCCGTGCTGGCGTGAGCCCCTGCTCTGCAGGGGGCTGCGCTCCGTCCGGCCCTTGGGTTGCACTGTGCGGTGGCGCCATCCGTCTCTCCATAAGCCCAGGGCTCAGAGCCCGCAGTGGCCAGGAGCGTCCTCTCTCTTCCGGACACATGTTCAGCGAGGGGCGACTTTGGTCTCTGCGGGGCCTGAGGCAAAAGGTCCAGGATGAGCTCTCTCTGCTGCGCTTCGGTTTTTCTCTCTTCCTCTCCCCTCACGTCTTTCCTCCTCCTCTCCGGTCTCCTGCTCACCCCTGGTCTCCTCCATTCCCTTTAGCAGCAGGTGCCTGGGGAGCCCTGGGGGGCTGGAGGGGGACGTGGTGGCTGTCTCAAAGCCCAGGACTCGGGCTCTCACGCCTGTCTCCCTGGTTCTTCCTTCCCAACGAACGCGGTTTTGCTGAGCGTGTGGTGGTTTGCTTGCAGCTCTGGTCCCGTTACCGCTGCAGGCTACGGGGTGATTTCGGTGGATCAGCGACCGTACACGGAGCCTCCCGGCCAGCCGAGCTGTGACCTCCTGCACCCCCTTCCTGCCCGCCGTGGTCCTTGTGTTTCAGCTCCTCTCTTTGGTCTTTTTATGTTTCTGTTTTTCCCGCTTGCATTGCACGTGACATGGACTAGGGAATCCCATAACTCAGACCCAGGGAGCCGCCCATCCTCCGAGGGTAAAGCCTTCAGGGTCCTTAGAAGACGCCGTGTGCCTCGTGGGAGGTGATGGTGTGGGAGTGGGGTGTGGAGTGTGTGGGAATGTGGCGTGATCATGAGTGGGGGTTAGGAACTCTTCCCCGAGGGCGGGGCTGAGGCTTCGCAGCCAAGGCTGTGTGACCCGAGCACCGGCGGGAGGCCAGCGCTGTGGAGCCGCCTGGCCCCTAGGGGGAGCGACACCCGAGAAGGTTATTTTTGGAGTCAGCCTGGCAGCTCCCGTGCTGGCAGGAGCCCTGTGTGGAGGTTGTCACGAGGCGAGGAAGGTGAGGAGAGCGAGGAAGGCCTCCCCTGGCCCGGGAGAGGGGACCACAGAGGAGGAAAGAATCCCAGGCCCCAGGTCAGACCCTGACAGCCCGAGGGGAGGCGGGGCCTGGGCTGCAGGGGGCGGGGACGCGAGTCAGGTCTCCCAGGAGGAGATGGCGAGGCTGAATCCTGGAACCTACAGTGTAATCTCCTATATTTTGTCTTCGCTGCGTGTTAGACCGTCCAGAATATATTGCATGACCCGGGCACTGGGGCTGTTGCCTACTTAGGACCAGGTCCGCCAAGCACCTGTTCAGTGTTTTCCTGTCTCTTTAGAAAACACTGCGGTTAAGACGCGCAGGCCTGACAGCAGCCCCGGGCAGGGACTCCCCGCCTCCGTGGTCAGATTTCCCTGGGCAAAGGAGAGGCCAGGTCCCTCTCCCTGTGGCCGTTTAGGTCTGAAGCGAGCTGCCTCCAGCTGCGACAGCGTGAAGGAGCAACGTCTGTGAAATGGCGCGTTTCTGTCCACTCCACGGATGGGGAAACCGGGGTGCAGCTGGCGCTACTTAGCGGTGAATCAGGGGTGCAGGCAGCCTGACCCTGGGCTGAGCCCCACAGAGCCATCTGCCCCCAGGAGTGGACTTGAACCTGGCCACAGACGAGGGCTACACTGACATTCGGGAGAACACCCGAGGCCCCGGTGCGGCCTCTCACCCCCAGCAGGTCCTGAACCTGCTCGAAGCTGTGCGTGGCCCCCGAGACGTGGTTCCGGCAGCCAGGGTGCCCCCGGGCCTGCTCTGGGGGCACATGCTGGGTGGGAATCCTGTCTGGTTGTCGGTGCTGACAACCTCGTGTTTCAGGGGATAAACTGATCCCACCAAACACAAAGGTTTGCGCTCAGAGACTCACCCTGTGGGGAGGGCTGTGCTGGGCTGTCCGTGCCTGTCCTGTGGGCAGTCCTGTCCACCCCAGGACCCTCCGTGCTCGGCAGGCCGAGGGTCAGAGCTGGACGGATCTGATTCCAGGAGGGGCCCCGGGAGCTTTAAAGATCGGCACTGGCCATGCTCCGTTTCGAGCATTCCTTTCTTGCTAGCTTGGTTTGTCTGTTCCTTCAGGCAAATGTCACCATTTGTTACTTTTCCTGTTGAAACGGGCAGGCCGCGGCAGGTGCGTCCCCAGGTCTGGGAGCAGAGACTCCTCCGAAGATGGTGCCACGGTGCGCGGTGGTGTGGGCTGGCGTCCCCGGCTCCCGGGGGGAGGCTGGCGTCTCAGCTCAGACACGAGCTGTTTCTGGGACGAGGAGCCAGCCCTGGCTGCCGGGGTAACCAAGCAGCAGACACCCCCATGAAACAGGTGCAGAGAGGTGGGAGAGGCGGCGCCGGCACTGGAGTGGTGTTTCCAGGGCCGCCCCCGCACGGGCGCAGTGTGGAGTTTCTGGAGCTGCGGGCCGTGCAGCAAGCGAGGGGCGCGGCGTGGAGGCTCCCTCGGCGTGAGGTCCCGGCGCGGTTCTTCCGGGCCTTTGCACGGACGCTGTTTTAAAGCGCCCACCAGGGAAAGTGTCTGGACTGAAATCTGCATCGCCCTGTGACGCCGCCTGCAGAGAGGCCGCGCCTGGGCGCACACCGTCCCGAGAGGTGCAGCCGCTGGGAGAAGCCGCTGGGGTTGGGAGCAGCTGCCAGGCTCCCCTTCAGCACCAGGCTGCTCCCTGGGACAGAGGCTCAGCCTCAGACGGAGCTGAGTGTGGCACCTGTCTGTCACCGAGGTGACGTCTCGGAGAGAAGCAGCATGGACAAGGTGTGCTCGGTCCCGTGGGCACCTGCCGCGGCCGAGACCCGGGACGCAGGCCTGGCTTCTGCTCAGCCATGAGCTGCTCTCCCGAGCAGGTGGGAATAGAAGCAGAAGGTTCTAGACAGCATTGGCTGGGTGGCAGTCTGGATTCAGGACGCGAGGGCCCAGCCGCCTGCCTCTCGGTGTTGCACCTGCCGCTGGGGGCCCGGCCCTGCTGTGGAGCACGGGTGCAGCACTTGTCTCCCCTCCTCCTCTTTGCTTCCCCCACGGAGCCCCTCCCCGTCCTGTTAATGGTCATGGGTTGAGGGGTCCTCAGCCTCCACCTTAAATAAGTTCCCTGTGGACCGTGTGCCTGGAGCTCCTGACTCTTGAGTTTGTGCCCTGGTTCTCTTTCTGGTCCTGACCTCCTGGGGCCCAGGGGTGCGTGTGCACGTGGCCACGTGTACATGTGTGCGTGGACAGGCACGTGTACATGTGTGCACATGTGTGAGACTAGCTGGGGCCCAGGGGTGCGTGTGCACGTGGCCACGTGTACCTGTGTGCGTGGATGGGCACGTGTGCACGTGTGTGAGACTAGCTGGGGCCCAGGGGTGCGTGTGCACGTGGCCTCGTGTACCTGTGTGCGTGGATGGGCACGTGTGCACGTGTGTGAGACTAGCTGGGGCCCAGGGGTACGTGTGCACGTGGCCACGTGTACCTGTGTGCGTGGACGGGCACGTGTGCACGTGTGTGAGACTAGCTGACTCCCGGCTGCCAGCCCTCCCCCCATGCCTGTCTGTTCCAACCCCACTACCCCAGTAACGGCTGTGAGAGCTAAGCCCCTCCCCAGGTCCAGTCCTAATTGAATGCTACCTCATTAGCAAGGCCAGATGCTCTCTCTGCACCGCGGCTTCCCAGCCTGGAAGGTGAAGGAGGTGGAGTGAGGCCCCCGAGCGTCTGACCCCCGGTGCTGAGACAGCAGCCGGGTTGCACGGAGTAAGTCGTCCGCACGCGGGATTCGCACGGGGAGCACGCTGCAGTGGTGGGCCTCTGTGCGCAGGCACGGGGACCCTGTGACGTCACAGCTGTGGCTGTGCCCCACTGAACTGCTCCTGAATTAAATGGCTGGAACCTTCTGTGTTTGCCTTTCAGCACAGAAATCCAGAGGTTAATGAGCCACATCCACGCAAATAGAAATGGATTTGTACAACCCAAGTAACCGGGGAGCTCTCTTAATAGAAAAATAAACACAGTGCAGCTGGATGGAGTCCGGCAGGATTTAGAATTTTTTAATGAATTGTTTTTCCTCCCGACTGCCGTGCCCTCTCTGTTAGCTTTGTACAAAGTCCCGGCCTCCGCCCCTTCACGGGGGATGAGCCAGCAGCCCCTGTGCACCAAACGGTGGCGTTCTCTGCTGTCAATCGCCTGAGCACGCGCGTTTTCTGTGTGGTCCACAGCCTCCTCTTTCTCACCTGCAGTGTGGGCACCGTGACCTTGTGGTCAGACCCAGTGGGGAGAGGGGGGCCGTGCTCGTGCCGTGGCCGCTGGCACACAGTAGGGACTCAACAAATGGCCACAGCCACCGCAGACTTGCTGTCTGTGTAGCCATCTCCACACACTCCACGCAGCGTGGACACACACAGGCCCCTAGGCCACTTGCTGCCCCCTGTGTGGTTGCTGTGCTGGCTCGGGGCCGGGTGCGGGCAGGTGCCGCCTTCCCACGTGCCCAAGGCTGTTCTCTGTTCCTCCCCGTGTACCTGCGGATCCTGTCCTCCCTGTCCTTCGCCCACGCGCCCCTGGGGAGGGACGCTAGTGTACTGGCGGGCCCGGCACCAGCACCAGCACCAGTGGCAGTTAATCCAGCAGTCATGCCTGCCTGCCTATAGGAGGAGACGCTCGGACACAGGGCTCATGTTGAAGGGAGAGCTCAGCTTGGGGGAAGAGTGCCTACTGTGTGCTGTAGAGACACAGGCGCAGGTGCTTAGCTTGGAGGGAGAGTCCCCACTGCGTGCCTATAGGAGAGACCTGGGCGCTCAGCCTGGAGGAGGCAGCGCCTCACGAACAGGTCCTTGCCTTGTAGATACTGCAGACAACGGATGAGTGGGGCGGAGCCTGGTCCAGCTCTGAGTCCAGGCAGGCTTCAAGGAAGCGGTGACGTCTCCATGAGCACAGGAGTGGGCGGGGATTGGGGAGAATATCAGGGGGCCCCGGCAGCGGGAGCGTGAGACTCAGGTGAGGCTGAGGCTTGGTCTCATGGGGCAGGGGTACCAGGCTGTGCGAGCTCCGTGCTGGGGGCATCGGGAGGTCTCTCGCTGAGCTTGGAATTCAGAGTTCATTCCAGCCCCCTGACCCGCACACCTCCGAGGCATGCTGGGAGGCACCAAGTGAGGGGGCTGACCTGAGCCAGCACTCCGGGGGCTGCGTGAGGCCCCACTGTGCTCCCTCCAGCGCCCCTGCCCGTTCTGAGCTCGGGGACAAGTCTGGGTCCTGGCCAGGAGCCCTAGAAGCCGCCCTCTCCTCCCCTGGCCGCTCCCTGTCTCCGCGTGGGGCTGCTCAGCCTGCTGCGATTCTCCCTGCACTGGGGGTCTGGGAGGCCGTCAGTGCCGCCCTTGAGGGACTCTCGTTAGCCCTCGCCCTGAGCTTGTCAATGTGAGGTCCTCGAGGCGTGAAACCTCTTAGCTCCGCCCCAGCCGTGCTTGCCCCCGGACGGTGTCTCGTGGCGGCGTCACATGATGAGGACTGCGGCTGCAGAGAGCATCGAGTGTGGACGGAAGGACAGTTTGGCCCTGGCTCCGGCCACTTTCCGGCTCCCACTGTCTGAGTCTCGGTTTTCTCGCTCTGCTGATTGGTGAACACTCACGTGCTGCTGTCCGGAGGGACTCCGCACAAACACTGCTGCTCCACGCTGCAGGATCTGAACTCCCGTCCTGCCGCAGCCCAGGGGAACTGTGGCCCTGTGGTCCCTGCAGGCAGGGCCCGCGGATCTATCCATCATCCCTCCTCCCCGATGGCTTGTGGGGAGAAATTGAGGTGGCGTCTTTCTACACTGTCCTGAGAGGCCGAGGGAGAGGTGTGATGGATTGTGGCGGAGGTGCATCTGCCCAGCCACGGCATTCGCTGGGCCACAGAATCTTCCCAACCACGGCATCCACCCGGCCACGGCATCTGCCCAGCCACGGCATCCGCCTGGCCATGGCATCCACTGGGCCACGGCATTTGCTGGGCCACGGCATCTGCCCAGCCACGGCATCCGCCCAGCCACGGCATCTACCAGGCCACAGCATCTGCTGGGCCACGACATTTGCTGGGCCACGGCATCTTCCTGGCCATGGCATTTTTCCCAGCCACAGCATCCGCTGGGCCACAGCATGTGCTGGGCCACAGCATGTGCTGGGCCACAGAATCTTCCCGGCCACAGCATCCACTCAGCCACAGCATCCACCTGGCCATGGCTTCCACTGGGCCACGGCATCTTCCCAGCCACGGCGTCTGCACTGGGGTCCATGAGGTGCTAGCTGAGCTCCCTCACAGCCATCCCCTGCCTGCCCCAACCCGCAGTGACATCCCCCAGCCGTGCACCCCCACGCTTATCCTGCCACGCTTCCCGCAGCCTCGCTATGGGCTGGGCCCTGGCCATCGAAGTGGAAGTGTCCTCTGGTGCTTCGCTGGTCCTCGGGCTCCACTGTTGGCCCTGGTGCCCTGATGGGGGGACGCTGGCTTCCCCGCACGTGCAGCACAGCTGGAAAACGGGGTGTCCACTGATGACAGGAAGATTGCTGAGTCAGCGGGTCCTTACGTGGACCGCCGACTCATTCCTAAGGAAGCATGGTTTCTCAGACAGCCACACGGCTAATAGAGTCATCCAGGAACTGACGATTCAAGCGCATTAGGTACATTGAGACCAATGAGACAATCTGGGCACAGGTTTTCAGAGTTCTGGGAGTAAGGGAATATGGGCCACGCATCACCTCCTCGCGTGCCTGCCACCCTGCCCCTCCCACGTGTTTCTGAGTCAAGAGAACAAAACCGCGTGTGACGCGAGCTCTTGGACCCCAGCAGCCTGGCGCTGCCTCGCTGTGGGCCTCCGTGTTAGCTCCTGTCCCTGCCAGTGGGGGCTATCTGTGGACTCAGGGGCCCAGCCCCCATATCAGAGGGCTCCCTGGGAGTACACGCATGTGTGTCAGTGTCAGAGGGCTCCCTGGGAGTACACGCATGTGTGTCAGTGTCAGAGGGCTCCCTGGGAGTGCACGCATGTGTGTCAGTGTCAGAGGGCTCCCTGGGAGTGCACGCATGTGTGTCAGTGTCAGAGGGCTCCCTGGGAGTGCACGCATGTGTGTCAGTGTCAGAGGTGTTCCCTGGGAGTGCACGCATGTGTGTCAGTGTCATAGGTGTTCCCTGGGAGTGCACGCATGTGTGTCAGTGTCAGAGAGCTCCCTGGGAGTGCACGCATGTGTGTCACTGTCAGCGGGCTCCCTGGGAGTACACACATGTGTGTCAGTGTCATAGGTGTTCCCTGGGAGTGCACGCATGTGTGTCAGTGTCAGAGGCCTCCCTGGGAGTGCACACATGTGTGTCAGTGTCAGAGGTGTTCTCTAGGAATACACGTGTGTCACTGTCAGCGTGTTCTCTATGAGTACGCACGCATCAGTGTGTCAGGTGTTCCCTAGGAGGACATGCATGTCAGTGTCAGTCAGAGGTGTTCCCTAGGAGTACACATGTGTCAATATCAGCCATGTTCCCTAGGAGTACACGCGTTTCAGCGTCAGCATGTTCCCTAGCAGTACACACGTGTCAGTATCAGCCATGTTCCCTAGGAGTACACGCGTGTCAGTGTCATAGGTGTTCCCTAGGAGTACACTTGTATCACTGTTAGCGTGTTCCCTAGTACACATGTGTCAGTATCAGCCATGTTCCCTAGGAGTACACGTGTGTCAGCATCAGCGTGTTCCCTAGTACACATGTGTCAGTATCAGCCATGTTCCCTAGGAGTACACGCATGTCAGCATCAGCATGTTCCCTAGTGCACATGTGTATCAGCCATGTTCTCTAGGAGTACACGCGTGTCAGCGTCAGCGTGTTCCCTAGCAGTACACACGTGTCAGTATCAGCCATGTTCCCTAGAAGTACACGCGTGTCAGCGTGTCCCCTAGCAGTACACACGTGTCAGTATCAGCCATGTTCCCTAGGAGTACACGCGTGTCAGTGTCAGCGTGTTCCCTAGCAGTACGCACGGGTCTGCCTCGGTGTCAGAGGTGTTCTGGGAGCACACACGTGTCCGTCGGCGCCAGCCGTGTTCCCTGGGAGCACAGGGGTGTCAGCAGCCTTGCAACCGTGATGCCTGTTCTGGCGCAGGATCTGCTTCCTTGAAGTTTTCTGCCTGAGCTGACTACAGAGCCTCTCCTTGGCCGGCCTCCTCCAGGCTGCACCCGTGTTGGGCCCTGTACCCTGGGGCTGCAGGTGCGGCTGACCTGCCTCGCAGCGGTCAACTGGGGGGTAGGGGGGAGGGGCCCAGCCCCCAGCGGGGGTCCGTGGAGGGGCGCGCCTGCCTGATCCCAGCACGGTCATCCTCGGCCAGAGCACGACTCTTTCAAACGAGAGGCTTCCTGTTTCCCACAGTGACTTCCTGAGTGCGTTGCGTGGCTTTCTATTTTAGACGTGCTCTATTATTGACCCGGACAACCATAAAGGCTCGCCTCGGTGAGGAACTCGGCGCTTCCTGTTTGCCAGCTGGGCAGGGGTCTGAGAGCGCCGTCTCCATTGTGCAGTGCCGTCTCCATCCGTGTCGGGGGAAGGGCCAGCAGGCCTCGCGGAGCCCCTCTCCCCGGCACGCGGCTCTCCTTGCTGCCCGGCTCTGCAGGGCATCTCACCAAGGACAGAAGCGCTGGGGGCTCCTGATCCGCACTTGTCCGATGGTGACGCCAGGCTGAGCACCCTGCGTCTGGGTGACGCGCCCAGCTGCTGGTCAGGAGAGGGTGAACGCCTCCAGTCCTGGGGCAGGCCAAGCTTAGCATCTGCAAACTCCGCTCCTGTGTTGCCTCCTGAGTCTGTGGCGGGTGCCATCGGGGCAGGGCAGGTGCTCTGCGGGGGTCATCTGCAGGCCCAGCAGAGGGGAGGCAGAGCCTGGGCATCACCCTCCAGGGTCCTGTCCACACAGCCATGGGCTCCCCCTGCTGTGGCTGCAGCTGAGGCCCTGCACAGCAGAGTCCCCATTCTGCCACCTGCCCCCTTGGACCCCAAGAGGGCATCTTCAGAGGCTGTGTGCATGTGGGGGGATGGGGGGTGGGGGGGGTGAGAAGGACAGGGCAGAGCGGGTGCCGTTCTTCACATGCACACACGTGACCAGGCGCACTGTGATGCAGGGGCAGGGTGTGACTGTGGAGCAAGGGTGCCATCTAGTCGGGGGTCGGGGGAGGGCATGGGGAGGAGGAGGGCAGTGCTGGCAAGTGTCTTGACCCAGAGTCCCCTTTCCCTCTAGTTCATCAAAGGGGAAGTTTTAAAGCCGTGGAAAGGGGAACTTGCTTCTCCTAAGGGAAACACAGCGCAGGGGGGTTCTGGAAGCTGCCTCTGCCCTCTGCCTCTCACAGCTGGCCCAGGAGGCGACCGTCATGGCCCCAGCCCGCAGGGGCGGCACGGTGTCCTGAGGCTGCTTGTGCCTCGTCGCTGCCTGCTGCCAGCGCTGGCTGTGACCCGCACGCTGGGGCCTGCGGTGCTGCCAGGAGTAACCCCAATGCCCTCGATACCACGCTGTCCCTGGAGCTCTTCACCTCCCTGCCTTGCATGGAGCAGGCGTCCGATGCCTGCGCGCTTACAGCTCCAACCCAGGTTAGAGTAGAAGCAGGCAAAATCCGCAGGTGAATGCGGCCAAGCAAAGTGCAGCAGGAGGCAGAGGCTCTGGGATCTGCGTCATCGGCGGTTTCATCATTGCGAGGACCCCATAGACAGCACGTCCGCCAGTGTCACACATCACGCGTGATCAGACCCTGCGAGACCCCGTGCTTATGTGCAACTCCAGAGGACCCAGAGTCTTCACACGCCACGGGACTGTGCTTCCTGTCGGAGGCAGTCCAGGAAAGCAAACCCGCTGGCCTCGGCGGCCCTGCCTGGCCTGGCCTGCCGCGGGCAGCTTCTCCGCAGCCGGCTTCCCCCGCTGGCGTCTCCGCGGCCCTCAGAGCTGAGCAAGGCCGGCAGAGGGCAGCCGGGCAGAGGGGCAGTGCCATGTGCTTTGTCAGCCTGTATTTAAACTGAAGACTTAATGAGCGACCCTGCACAATTTTAATTCGGGTTTTTAATTAACAGGGCTGAAATGAGGAGATGGCACTTCTCATGTTCAGCACGTTCGACTTGTTTTCTTCCCGGCTCATTAGCGCTGCATTTTGGACATCTGTCCACTCCGTGTATTCAGCCGGCGACTCGGGTCAGCATGTAGGAGCCACACGAGGCCGCTGATGAGTGGGAGGGCCGTGTCTTTGCCCGCTCTCTGCGGGGTGAGGGAGGGGAGACGATGGGCCACGTGGACCCCCCCCCCCGCCCTGCTCAGGCCCCGGAGGACAGAGTCGCTGGGAAGGGTGTGCAGTGTTGGGGAAGGGCGTGTGTGCCAAGTGTGGGTCCAGGCGTGTGCTCCCCTCTGCCAGGGGCTGTCAGACATTACAGTGGCACGTGTGCTGCCCTGGGCACACGGGGAAACGGCTCGTGAGCCCAGGGTCTCCTGAGTGACGGCTCGTGAGCCCAGGACCTCCTGAGTGATGGCTCGTGAGCCCAGGGCCTCCTGAGTGACGGCTCGTGAGCCCAGGGTCTCCTGAGTGACGGCTCGTGAGCCCAGGACCTCCTGAGTGACGTTTGCCCTGAAACTTCCCATCTCTGCCCTAAGAGTGCATGGTGCTGAGCCACGCCCAGGATCCCAGGGGTCAGGGGTGTGTCCACCCCTCCCCAAGGACAAACTCCAGCACCCAGCTGATGCTCCAGCATCTCCAGGGACGGTGTCGAGGGACAGGGACGGTTTTGGGACAAGCATTTGACGCAGTGGTTTAGACTCTGCTTGGAACTCTGCATCCCGTCTCAGAGTGTCTGGGCTCCGGTCCTGGCTCCGCCTCTGACTCCAGCTTCCTGCTGATGTGCACCCTGGGAGGCGGCAGTGATGGCTGGAGTCCTCGGGTCCCTGCCACCCCCATGGGAGACCAGAGTTGAGTTCTCAGCCTCTCGCTTTACCCTGGCCCGGCTCAGTGCATTGTAGGTATTTAGGGAGTGAACTAGTGGATGGGAGACCTTGGTCTCTCCATCTAGCTCTGTTTCTTTGCTACTATGCCTTTCAAATAAATAAAAATAAATATTTTTTTAAATTGCCAACTTCAAAGCCACAAGCCCCTGGAGCTGCACAGGGCGACGCCGAGCTTGCATTGGGCTGGTTCTGCGGCTGCTCGTGGCGTCCTCCCCTGCCTGCGGGTGGTTCTGCCGGGGTCTGTCTCCGCACACCGTGTTGAGTAGATTGGCCTCTGCGCTGGACTCTCTCCACTGTGTCTGTTCCAGGCTCTGTAAGGTTTATCTTAGCAAGTCGGCGAGGCTGGTCCAGTCATGGCCTGCCCTCCAAGCAGCTCTCCCAGCCCAAGGATCCGAGCCAGGCCTGACTTGGCATCGCTCTGTGTGTCTCCAGCCACAGGGGGCACCCTGGCCTGCGCAGGGTTGGGGCGGTGGGTGTGCCCACCTGCAGTGGTGTTCCCGCTCCCATGGAGTGGCTCTGAGGACCCTGTGAGTGCACAGCCCAGGCCCTGCGCCCCCACCCCCTCCGCTCGCTGGAGCACCTGGCCCCGCGGGCAGGAGAAGCTCAGAGAGCTCTGGTCTTCACAAAGGCCCTTTGTCCCCTGTACTGTTGGCGCTGCTCGGTGCAGATGGCGGCATCCACCCTGTTGCCCTGCCTCTGGGTGCACGCACTGCACGGAGCGTGGCGCCGACACCCCCGTGTGTCTTAGGACAGTGCTGTCCTGTTTCCCTGGAGGTCGCGTTTCTTCCTGGCTGGTGTGTGTGCCCAACAGCGCCCCCTGTAGGCGTTCTACCTGGAGTCTCGGCTGTAACAGTGACGACTGTGCGCTGCCCGACTTCCTCCCTCCCTTCTTGAAAACTCGCGCCTGGACCACGGACGGCGAGAACTCGCTGGTTATGACCCCAGTATCTGCTCCTCCCTCTCCCTTCCGGGAGGCCAGTTTCCTTCAGGTCCACCCCCTCTCTGAGCCCGGGAATGTCCGGCATGGAGGTGGGGGCAGGGCTGGTCACTCACACCCACTGCTGCCCAGGAGCCCAGATGGATCTGAGGAGCACGTGGCTGGGCTGCAGGCGCACAGGAGACCTGAACCAGCCACGGCGCCACGGCGGAGCTCCCCCGTGGTTCGCGAGTGCCTGGTGCTCGTGTGCTGTGATGTTGATCGGGTGACGGATGCATCACGGGATGGAAAGTTCCTGGCGGAGCAGCCGTGTAGGGCTCCGTGGGGTGAGCTCCCACTCTGCAGCTAGGGTGCGTGGGGAAGGCTGCACCCGCGGCCCCCGGGGCACCGTCAGGAGAGGCAGGTTCAGCTGATGTCGCCGCTGCAGAGGACGAGGCTGGAAGACCCGCGGCCTTCGTCACGAGTTCGTCCTGCTGGCCGACCGTCTCAGTCTCTTGGGGGCTCTCGGAGCCCAAGTGCTGGGAGGAGTGGACTGGGAGGGCAAAGGTGTCGCTGCCGCGAGAACCCAGAGGGCAGAACACGGGGACCCCGGGCAGGGCCGTCCGCACAGGTTCTCCCCCAAGATAGCTCGTGTGCATCGTCTTGGGAACACAGCCGCCGAGGTCCAGGCGACGAAGCTGCGCAGGTTCTCTCGGCAGACACACAGATGCCACAAAACACAGACGGAGGGGGGCCGCTCTGCTGATGGCCCACAGCTCCGTCCCCCAGATTAGACGCACTTCTCAGGATCCTTGTGGCCCCGTGGGAGACCACACAGGGGCGTGGCCACCTGTGTCCACTCGGGGCCCTGCCAGCAAGGTCACCATCACGGAGGCTCCCCCACTCCTGGACTAGACCATCCAGAAGGAACCTCTTGTTTCGTAAAGTTAGACGGCCCCAGGCATTTCATTCTAGTAGCAACGGGCTGGCCAGTGGAGCTGGGGGCGGTGAGGGTGACATGAAGGCCAAGGGTCAGGCTGGCCCACACGCATGCACCTCATACCAGCCAGCTGCTCTCTGCTTTCACTCGAAGGGCAGTGGGAGCTGCGTAGGAGGGCAGGCGGCTTATTTCAGTGCAGAACTGCGGCCCCCTTGGGCTGGGCTGGTGGCAGAACCTGTGTGGAGGGGGAGGCATGGCGAGCCAGGGAGCACACATTCTCTTCTTATGCAACCAGCCCTTGTGCAAGATCTGCTGTTCCGTGGCTCGGCCCCGGTGGCCTGAGACCTCCCACCAGATGCCATCGTGAGACCAAGACTCCACCCTAGTCCATCAACCACTGACAGCAGCTTTGGACATAAGACTTTGGGGTTTGCTTATTTTTAAGGTCGGTCGGTCTGCCTATCTATCTATCTATCTATCCATCCATCCAAAAGAGTAATGGGAGAAAGGGAGGGAGAGGGAGAGAGGGAGAGAGGGAGAGAGGGAGAGAGGGAGAGAGGGAGAGAAGAGGAGAGAGAGAGAGAGAGAGAGAGAGAGAGAGATCTTCCTCTACTGGTTCAGTCCACAAATGACTACAACAACCAGGGCCGGGCCAGGTGGAAGCCAGGACCCAAGAACTCTCTCTGGGTGCCTCACGTGCTCACATGTGCAGCGGGGTCCCAAGCACCTGGGCCATTTTCCGCTGTCTTCCCAGGCACATTAGCCGGGAGCTGGAACAGAAGTGGAGCAGCTGGGACTTGACCTGGGGCCCCAGTGTGGGATGCCGGTGTCACGGTGGCAGCTCAGCCCCTGCTCCACAGCTCCAGCCCCGACGTTGGGGTTTGAGCGGCTGCACGAGTTTGGAGGCCAGATGCTGTCACAGCACGACACCCCTGAAGTAGGCAGGACAGCCGTGGGCACATCCGTGCCACCCGTGCGATGCCACCCTTCAAGTGGACTCAGAGGAGCCCTGGAGGAGGAGTGGATGCAAGTCCGCCGAGCCCATGTGGCGCACCTGTCTCCTTAACCGGCACAGTCACCACTAACCGTCCAGTGGGAACACAGCATCTAAGACCACGGGGTGAGGGCTCCAGCCCGGGCAAGCCTGGTGACGGGTGCACAGCTGACCACTGTCAAATACGACACCATTCAAAGATGTATTTATTTATTTGAAAGGCAGAGAGATGGAGAGCAAGAGAGAGACTCAGTCGATCTCCTGGTTGCTGGTTCATTCCCGACGGCTGAATGGCAAAGCCAGGAGCTCCATCCGGGTTTCTCACATGGGTTGAGGGGCTCGATGCTTGGGCCACCACTGGCTGCCTTCCCAGGCACGTTAGCTGGAAGCCAGATTGGCAGTGGAGCAGCCGGACTCAGCCGTGCCTTGGTGTGGGATGCTGGCGGTCCTAGAGGCGGCGTAGCCCGCTGCGCCGTGTCACCAGTCCTGACTGCAGGCCTCCGGCTCTCTCACTGGTCACAGCTGTGTCTCAGGTTTGCTTACACAAGGCCATGCATTGAGATGATTGCATCATTGGTTAAAAAATACAAAAACTGCATCGCTTCCTACACAATACGAATATGTCTCTGTGCTTGCCGACTTGCACAAACAGTAGCAGATGGTCATCTGCAAGGCGAGGACAGGGCACTCAGATGTGCATACGAAGTCATTGCGACCAGCAGGGCAGTGCCGATCTCCAGCCCAGATCCAGTTCCGACCTGAACTGCAGGCTGCAGCAGCTGAGCGACAGACAGCGCCCTGGCGTTCTCTGGTGGGCGGGGCCGCGTCTGCTTCCGCAGCTGCAGGGTGACGGGTGGGGAGCGGGGGTGTGATGCGCGTGTCCTGGCATGCAGGGGGCCTTGCACGGGAGTGCGTGTGTGGTGCGCGTGTCCCGGCACGCAGGGCTCCTTGCATGGGAGTGCGTGTGTGATGCGCGTGTCCCGGCACGCAGGGCTCCTTGCATGGGAGTGCGTGTGTGATGCGCGTGTCCTGGCATGCAGGGGGCCTTGCATGGGAGTGCGTGTGTGATACGCGTGTCCTGGCACACAGGGGACCTTGCACGGGAGTGTGTGTGTGATACGCATGTCCTGGCACGCAGGGCACCTTGCACAGGAGTGTGTGTGCGGTGCGCGTGTCCTGGCACACAGGGGACCTTGCACGGGAGTATGTGTGTGGTGCGCGTGTCCTGGCACACAGGGGACCTTGCACGGGAGTATGTGTGTGGTGCACGTGTCCTGGCACACAGGGGGCCTTGCACGGGAGTGCGTGTGTGGTGCGCGTGTCCTGGCACACAGGGGGCCTTGCATGCACTGCTCCGTGGGCCGTAACTGTAGGTGCTGAAGAAAAGGAAAATGGCCCAAAGCCTGCAGACTCACCAAGTGCTGAGCTCCCCCCACACCACTGACCTGTCCAGAGCAGACCGGGCCTGCCGTCCTCCCTGTGGTCCTCAGGAGAGGCCTTTGTACCGAGGATTCTGGAAGTCAGAGTCACCTCCAATTTCAGCCAGCCAGGATGGGGAGCTGGGAGCTGGGGGTGGGGGTGGTGGGGGTGGGGGAGAGAGAGAGAGAGAAGCAGAGACTGTGAGTGTATGCGGTGTGGGGGGTACATTCATATATGTGTGTATGTAAATGTGTGCATGCATGTATGTTTGTGTGTATACATTGTATTGTGTCTATGCGTGAACATGTGTATTTATGTATATGTGTATGTGTGTGTCTGTAGTGTGTATGTGTGGATATATGTATTGTGTATATGTGTGTATATGTGTATATGTGCATGTGTTTATGTGTGTATGTTTATGTGTGTTCATGTATGTGTGCATACATGTATGTGTATGTAGGTGTGTGTTTTGTGTGTGGGGGTGTGTCCGTGTGTACATGTATGTGTATATATGTGTGTGTGTGTCCGTGTGTGTGTGTGTATGTGTATGCATGTGTGCAGGGGGTGAGTTTGGAGGCAGCAAGTCAACGCTATGGCTCTTGGTGTCTGTGGAAAGCTGTGAAGAGTACAGGCCGTGGCCCTGAAAGGAAAAGTTGTTTTCTGACCCTAAAGCAGTGGGAGTGACCAGCAAGCGAGGAGACAGCCCCTCCCACCCCACCCCCCACCCCCACGCAGCCTCGGGCAGCCGGAGGATGCAGCCCCTTGACCCTGAGTGAGGATGGGGTGATGACAGACATCTGGGAAGCCTCCTCCTGTCCCTGGGGCAGGCAGGGCCCACTCAGCAGATGGCCTCCCGCCCTGAGGGTCTTCCCTGTGGCTGTGGTGTTCACACCTGCAGGGCCTCCCAGCTTCCCTGTCCGCATCTCAGCTTCGAGGCCGGCGATCCTTTAAGGTTAGCAAAGTTTACGTTTAAGACCAAGACCGTTGAAGAAGCAGCATCTGTCAGGCTCCACGCTGGCAATTCCCCCTGCCCGGGACAACGACTGACACAGCCAGAGACAGGCCCAGGCGGGGCGGGGCCGGCGTGAGGGTGCCGTGTGCTGTCCTCGGAGGCCACTGCGGGCGCAGCATATACACATATATGCACACACACATACGCATGCACACATACACACACATACACACATAACCACACATGCACGTACACACACCACACCATACACACACGTGCAAGCTCACACTCGCACACACACATGCACACACACACACCACCCACCAGGCCCCTTGCCTGACACCACCTCGTCTTCCGGCTTGCAGGGCCTGCAGCAGCCCAGCCCCAGAGCCCCTGCCCGTGGTCCCAGCATGGGCTCTCACAGGGAGGGCACAGCAGCGGGCACAGGCGAGAGCCTGCTGGGGCTCACGGGGCTTCCCCGGGCAGAGGCTTTCACTAAGACCCCCCCCGCCGTCCGATCGGGAAATCAGGAGATGCGTGAATAACTGGCCTGAGTTTGGACTTGAAGATGGACAGACATCTCCAGGCCGGGGTGGGGGGGGCACATGGGGCCCGGGGCGGGCCTGAGAGGGCAGGTGCAGAGCTGGTGCCTGTCCCATGGGGCTGGAGGGTGGCACAGATAAGGCCACAGGTCACCTGGGGACAAGCGATGGGGTCTGTGGATGGAGCTGGTGGGGGCAGGGGTCAGGAGGCCTGCGAGGTGCAGAGGAGCTGATGGCCAGCGATGTCGGCCGGACTGCAGGGAGCGAGAGGCACAGGAGGGCGGGCAGCCGGCTGCAGTCCCTGGTCGTGGAGGGGCGGGTGGGCACGGGAGGTGCTGCCGAGGGGACTTCCGTGGGCTTCTGCAGTGGGAGGGGTGGAGTCTGCAGGCTTGGGAAGGGGGGGCGCTGAGCCCCTGCCTGTCAGGCACCCCTGACCTGAGGGGGCGGAGGCAGACGAAGCCCAGGGACTCGGAGGAGGAGCAGACGCTGGAGTGGGCTTTGCTGAGCGATGCTGGAGGTTGGGGGGGGGAGCCGAGGCGGGAGGAACCCGGGTCCCGGACACTGAGTGCGTGTGCTGGTCTGCTGAGAACTTTCCGTGAGTGGCCGCCCTGGCCAGCAGCGAGGCCCGGCTTCTCCCCTCTGTGGCTCTGTGCCTGGGCGCGGACACAGCAAGATGTGCTGGAGGTGCGCACAGGTGCTCGGAGCAAGCAGCTACTCCCGCGTGGGCCTCAGCTTCACCACCGGGCCAAGCGCCCGCCTCGCCCTCTATTGGGGCTGCGTGGGCGGTGCAGCTCTGGGAGGGTGCTGTCTGGGCCTGGGTCCCCCGGCTCCCACCCTCAGCCGTCCCTGTCTCAGCTGCCTCTGCTGCCGTCGGACCCGCGGCTGCTGCCGACCACGTCCACGGGGGCTCCGAGGTGCGCTAGGCGCTGGGGAGGAGTGGCAGCAACCCAGCAGAGGCTCGGCTGAGCTGCCTGGGCACGGCCTCGCCACCTCCGCGTGCACGCGTCTGGCATTTAAAGCGTGCTTCGGGCTCACTCTGAGGTGTTGGGAGTTGGAGATGACCTGGAGGTACCCTCTCTTGTGGAATTCGGCTGAGTATCGGCTCGACAGACTTCTGAGTGCTCCCCCGCTGCCGCCCAGTGCGAACAACGGCCACACAGGACGTCGTCTCCCAGCAGCTCCTGCTCCTGACGACGCAGAGAGCTCGGCCTTGATCAGGGCTCCCCGGCAGCACTGGTGGCACCGGCCTGGCATCCATGGTCTCTGCCCATCACATTCCAGGGGCAGCACCAGATCCTGACAACCTAGGATGGCTCTGGACCTGGCCAGGCGTCCCCAGGAGGCGAAATTCTCCTAAGTAGGATCCCCGCTTTGATGGAAGTCTCTCCCTCATCCGCAGTAGGAACTGGACGTTAGCTAAGTGCCGACCTAGGCAAGCAAACCAAGGCAGTTAGCATCGCTGTTTAATTCCCATGTTTATAGCTATGTGCCAAGGGCTCTGTGCCCACAGCAAGGAATAGGAGAGACCCGGGCCCAGGCCCCATGGCGTCCTCCCTCCCGGTGGATCTAGGGACACTAGGGAGCAGGGTGCCCGGATCAGGGCTCGTGGCCCAGCCGGGGAGCCAGGGGATCTCCCAGCAGTGGTGTCAGAGCAGAGGTCAGCTGGCTGGCGAGCAGGGAAGTGAGGTGTAGTGGGGTCACCACCGGCAGAAGCAGCAGGTGCGTGAGCTGGGAAAATCCGGACAGTGGCCGCCCTGGGGTCAGACCAGGCGCCGCCTCCCCTCCGCACTCCCGTGTCAGGAGTTCTCCCCCAGAAGCCCTTGTGGGGTCCTCCTTCCAGGTTTCGTGGTTCTTGTTGGGGCCTTGCCACCAAGGATCGCTTTGCAGATTGCAAGGTACACATGTGTGGATGCTGTCGTCACAGTTTAGCATTTTTTGTGGAACAGGAAGTTCTGTGCTGACCATGAAGGACACAGGAGTGGCTGTGTGGGCGCCCCAGGGCTGCCACAGCACCGTGCCACCCACAATACACATTTAGCCCTCGCGGTGCCAGAAGCCCCAAGTTGGAAGTTTGGCATGCCCGGGCTCTCGGTCCCTCTGAAGGCTCCGGGGGAGTCGGTGCCTGACCCCTCCCTGCAGATTCCTTGGCGTTCCTTGGCCTGGGACAGCTCCTGCAGGCTCCGCTCTGCTCCCCTGTGCCTGTGACCCCGGGTAGGGACGTAGGGCCTGCCCCAAGGCAACCGTGACCTCACGTGCGAACCCCCAGTGCCCACAGAGGGTCACGGCAGCGGGTGTGGGGAGGACCTCAGCTTCTCGTTAGGGGAGAGCCACACTGGTGATGCTGATTCTACAGGGAAGTGACAGGCTCCCAGGCTCTGCAGGCTTTGTAAACAACAGCTCCCTCTGAAAGACACCCACGGAGCCCCTGCCTGCTTCCCACGGAGCCCCTGCCTGCTTCCCGCTGGAGCCCCTGCCTGCTTCCCGCTGGAGCCTGGGAGATTGAGCCCACGTAGTCGCTCCAGCACACGGTGACAGGACCGGAGGATCACACTTCCTGCAAAGTCACCAGACCCCCGGCAGCTCTTCCAGGAAGGAAGCTGTGTCACAAGAGGAAGTGATGCCGCGGGCTGGACGGGCGGGGAGCAGGTGCGGCAGGCGGGCGCACGGTGGTGCAGCCGCGAGCTCTGAACAGGGCTGAACCCGAGGATGTGCCATTGTGATGACGCACCTGTTTCCTGTTGCACAGTCCCATTCTTTTGGGATCGGCACATGCTGAAAGCCCTTGACAAACCTAGACATCCTATTTAGGGTCGCTGACTTACAGCCCCAAGGCGGTTGCTCGTCACTCGCTGGCTCATGGAGAGGAAGCAGGAGGAGGAGGCTGGAGGGGAGCAGGTGTCCCAAGTCCCTTCTCTTCCTGCCCATCTGTCCTGCACCGGAGCTCATGGTGACTGCTTTTGCCCACTTCACCATTCAGCACGGGTCTACGTGAGGCTGGACATCAATAGCAACCACGGCATGTAGCGGCCTGCATACACATGGAGTCTAATAAAAGCATGAACCAAGTGATCCCCATCACTGGTAGAGCACCTGCCATACACCTGGCTCATGCCGGGGCTCGTGGGAAACGTCCCTGAAGGGCAGGTGCTGGTGGTCAGAGCTGGAGAGGATCCCGTGCAGGTCTCAGTGAGCACAGCGGGTGCTGGCGCCCCGCCGGGGGATCAGGATGTCCGACGGCCCGAGACAGCGAGGGGCAGTGTGGCTTATCCAGAGAACTGGGGCGGGGCCCTGGCTGGAGTCCGGGGCCAGCACGAGGGTTGGAGTGAGGTGTTGCCTTTCCTTCTGGCTGCTTTGGGGAGCTGTGTCCCGGCTCGGTCGTCTGCAGATTTGTGTGTGTTTAGGACTTTTTTTTATTTACTCTTCCTTGGGGCTGTTGAGCCTTTATAAATATGAAGACTGGTATATTTTCATCAACCCTGAAAAAAAATCTCAACCCTCATCCGGGATCTCCGGCTGCATCTTCTCCGTCTTCTCCCGCGTGCCAGGGCTCAGAGCCGAGCCGCGCGTGCAGCCCACGACGGCCCCGTCTCTTCACCTCTTTCCCTGTCTTTGTCTTTCCCTGTCTTTGTCTTTCTGTTTTCCATTCTCTCAA